CAATTAGCATCTTTGTCTTTTATTAGTGTAGATAATGTTTAGGCTGCGGGAATGGCACTGGATGTTAGACCAGCGGGGTCAGACCAGGCCTGGGTTCAGCCACCTCGGTACCTGAGTTCTGGCTGGGAAAGAATTCAGAGCCAAGACTCGAACTGTAAGAGAACATTTATGTGTAAAATCACAGAGGTAGGAGTAACTATAAACCTGAACAGAACACATATGTGGAGGATGATTTGAAGACGGTGAAAAGTAAACTGCGGAAGATTGAGGGAGAAAACCAGAATTCAAAATACCCCTGAATCTTACGGGTGGGGAGTCCACCATATGCTTCCCCTTCGGCATCCATGACTGGAACTCAGAGCACCCGTAACCCAAAAGGAAGCCCCGCTGAGCAGCCAGAGTTCCAGCTCCACTTCCGGCTTCAGAAAGATGGTGATGGCGATTTTCAGCAAATATGGGTTTAGGGGGGAAGCGGCAGCTAGGGGAGGGGCTCTTGCGAGAACCCCCTGGGAAGAACTCGCTCTCACGATGAAGCTCTAGGGTTGTTATATGCCCCGCCCTCCCAGCCGCTCGCCCATGCGCCCTGGGGGGAGCCCACCTGGTGGAAGACCCGTTGAAGGCGCGTGGACTGTGCCTGGTCTCCCGCTCTCCTGCCCTACCTTCTGCCCGCTCTCAGCACTGTTTCAGGCCCTGCTCGTCCTTCCAGGCCCATCTCTTCCAGAAAGCCTGGAGGACTGGCCTCCCGCCATGGCTGCGACTGGCCTGCCACCGTGACAGCAGAAAAGGAACTTCTCCAGCCAGGAAGTCACAGCTTGGTGACCTAAGACTGTCTGCCTTTAGATGGTCAGCTACCTGGGGTCAAAAATCGATGCAAACTCACATCTGTGTCCAAGGCTCCTGGCACATGGAATTGGCTATTAAGTCATCTACCAGGTCATAAGGACACTCACGCAGCTCCTGGAAAAGCCCAGGTGGGGACACACCTAGGCCTCCCTCAATGGACTGCTGGCACCAGCTCGCCAGCCTGGTGGCTGCACCTCCTTGGAAGCAGGTCTTGCAGCGCCAGGCAGTTCTGATGACTGCAGTCTCGAGTGAAGCCTCCTGAGACATCCTGGCCAGAGTCACCTAGCTCAGTCGTTCCTGAACTCATGACCTACAGTGAACAGTGAGTTTGATAAATGTTCATTATTGTCTAATTTTGAAGGTTTTTTTGAAATACAATTCATACACATAAATGTCACCATTTTAGAGCGTACAGTTCAATGTTTTTTAGCACATTCATTGTTATGCAACCATTGACAAAGTGTCATTCCAGAATATTTCCATCGCCTCAAAATGATATCCCATCCCTCGTAGCAGTCACTCGTAGTTCTCCCTACTGCCCGTCACCTAACAACTGTTCATTTTACTCTCTGACTCTAAGGACTTGCCTATTGTGGGCATTTGCTATAAATGAAAACATACAATATGTGGTTTTTTAAAAATAGATTTTTATTGATTTCAGAGAGAGGAAATGAACAATCACCAATACTCTTGCAGCAAATGTTAAAACAGAAAGTCTTAGCAAAGAAATAAAAGACATAAAGAAGAACCAAATAGAAATAAAAATGTAATGGCAAGTAAAAATATCTGCTATCTGATCTTGAATATAAGGTCAATGGAAATTATCAAATCTGTGCAATAAATATATAACATTTTTTAAATGATCAGGGTCTCAAAGATCTGTGGGGACATTAACAAAGGTCTAACATTCATGCCATGCAAGTCCCATAAGGAAAAGAGAAAGAGCACAGTGCTGAAAAAGATGTAAAAAAAAAAAAAAAAAAAAAAAAAAAAAAAAAAAAAGAAAGAAAGACTGAAAACTTCCTAAATTAGGTAAAAAACATAAACTTAGAAATTCAAGTAACCAAGCAAATCCTAAAGAAATCCACATCCAAACACTTTGTATTTAAACTACTAAAAACTAAAATATCTTGAAAACAGCCAGAGAAAAATGATGTATTACTTTAACAAAAACAACTTGAATGACTGCAGATGTCTCATAAGAAACCATAGAGGCCAAAAGGAATTCTCACATCTTTTAAATGCTAAAAAAAGTGTCAACTCTGAATTCTGTATTCAGCAAAAATATTCTTCAGAAATGTGGGCAAAATAAAGGCATTCATAGATGAAGGAAAGCTAAACATTCATTGCCAGCAGATATGCTCTAAAACAATTGTTAAAGAAAGCTCTTGGACAGAAGAGTCATGATACCAGAAAGAAAACTGAATATCAAGAATGAAGGAAGATTAGAAATGACAAACACCTACATAAATATAAAATACTAATCTCCTCTTGTGATTTTTAAAATGTACTTGGCAGCTGAAAGGGAAAATTCGAATATTTTCTGATAGAGTTTTCAATATATGTAGATGTAATACATAAAGCAATTCTAACAAAATGGGGGAAGGTATTAAGGTTTCTGCATTCCAAATGAAATGGCAAAATATCAGTTCTAAGCAGACTATTAAATGTGTTATTTGCAATATCGACAGTAACAATTAAAACAGCCATATGAAGAGATAGAATAAAAATCAAATAAATTAATTAAAATGGAATGCTAAAAAATGGTTCCAATGAGGAGAAACAGACAGACAAACAAAAACAGACTGGCAAACTGAATTCAGCAGCGTATTAAAAGGATTATACACTATGATCAAGTGGCATGCAAGGATGGTTAAACATATGAAAATCAGTCAATGATCATACACCACATTAATAAAATGAAGGAAAAAACTGTGATCATCTCAGTTGATGTAGAGAAAAACATTTGACAAAATTCACCATCCTTTCATGATGAAAAACACTTAACTAAGTAGAAGTAGAAGGAAAATGCCTCAACATAATAAAAGCCATATATGAAAAACCCACAGGAAATGGTGAAGGAATGAAAGCTTTTCTTCTATGATAAGGAACAAAGCAGAGATGCCTGCTCTGGCCACTTCTATTCAAATAGTACTAGAAGCTATAGCCAGAGCAATTGGGTAATAAAGAGAAATAAAAGCCATGCAAATTGGAAAGGGAAAAGTAAAATAATCTGTTTGTAGATGGCATGATCTTATACATAGAAAACCCTAAAGATTCTACACAAAAATTTGTTAGGACTAATCAATAAATTCAGCAAAGTAGCAGGATATAAAGTCAACACACAAAAATTAGTTGCATCTCTATACACTAACAATGAATAACATGAAAAGGAAATTAACAAATCAATTTCATTTACAATAGCATCAACACTAATAAAATACTTAGGAATTAACTTAACCAAGGAGGTGAAATACTTGTAAATGAAAACTACACTTCCTGATTTCAAAACGTACTACAAAGCTACAGTTACTGGCACAAAAAACAGATATAAAGGCCAATGAAATACAATAGAGAGCTCAGAAATAAACCCTCACATTTATGGTCAAATGATTTTTGACAGGGGTGCCAAGAATCTTCAATGGGAAAAGGACTCTTCAACAAATGATGATGGG